GTCCCGCCGCCACTCCATGCCGGTGCATATCGGCCTACATCATGCAGCATCGTGAGAGTGTAGGTATTGCATCAAATTTGAGTAGAATACAAGGATTCCAGTCCGATGTCTTGTCCCAAGTGTGAAGGAATAAAAAAAGCAGTACACCAATCCAAATTTGAGTAGCCAAACAATATGTTGATTACATATAAGTAACAAATATTTAAAATATAAGAACTATACCACACTGGTAGAGTCAAGGAGATTGGAGTTGAACATATTACACAACTTAAATTTGAGGCTCGAGACAAGCCATCCGTTACAAGTGTGACATACATTGAGTTATTTTGTTTGGCGACACTTGACAAATGCTAATTATTAATTAGTAATTACTTTCAAATTCTATATAAAAATGTTTCTTTTGCTAGAATACATGTATAACAAATCATAAATTTGAAAGGTATTGACATTTAACTTGTCAAAATATTTTTTTCCTATCTAGTTATACTTGCCATGTATAGATAGCCAAATTTACGCTTGGTAAGCTGATGGCTAGATCAAAATTTCATCTTACCTCTTAGGGGGTAAGTGGTAGCATCTTAAAATTTCGTTTCTACTACAGAAGGGGGTCAAGTACTGTCCATGATTTCAAACCCGTAAAGGTCAATAAAAAAATAGTTCTTGACATAATGTTCCATCGATAGCACTAACAAAATATGCATCCTAGCACACTTATTTGACATACAAACACATTCAGACCACTACCAAAATATTGTCCATAAACTCAAACCCCTACACTATAGTAACCTTTGATGCTGAAAATCGGAAGCAGCACCCGCACCAGAGTGCTTACCCTTGGTTCATCTTTGCTACAAGCCTACAATAGATTATGGTTCTCTCAATGCTAGGATAGTCCACACAACATCAATTCCTCCCTCAGTGACCGATTACGCTCAACATATTTGCATGTCTAATGCCACTCCTACATTGTGTGTTGCTCCTCCCTCGGCGTCATCACCTATGGCTTAACTGACCACGGCTACCACGCCCATACTCTCAACCACAATGACATAAGCAACAATGGTTATCACCTCGCTTGAGCAGTTCTGACGGCTTCTACTCTAGCCAAAAGTGTCCGTGTTGCCCCTACTGTTCATGATGCTCCTACGACTTCGAACACACATGCGGTCATCAAGACAGCTCATGAACCGGCAATGGACAGGTGGCCGAGGCATACACACACAGTGGCGTGCACACGAAAGGCATCTTATTCATCTTTTCCAATCATGTTCAGTCCTAATGGTATGTGTTGCCACCACTATGACACAAAGGGAATGTTCGAATACGAAATATATGTTTGATTTTAAACAGTAGAAATTATGAAGTATAGAAATAAACATCAAAACACTCCTAGTCTCTAGGCTACTTATCCACCAAGTTTGTACCTCTATATGTACTTGCCCTTGAGGCTTAATAATTAAAACAATGCTTTTTGTATATTCATCTCGTTTTACAACAACATGAAGGTGCCGAGTTTATTATTTAGATATATTGTCTTTCAAGGTAATAGACTGGTAGTACATACGAAGTGGATAAGAGTGACAAGATTACTTGCATGTTTACTCCATGCATGGGAACAAATTAATTTTGACCGGATCTCTCTGGGGTGTGTCAAACCATGCCTCGTTGTACTCAGATGTGCTGGTATGGGGTGGGCACCAGCAAGAGCGGTGTCTGTAGGAGGGGGATAAGCTCGCCTTCCTCCTGCACGCTAATCACGATCCCCTCGGGGAGCGCCCAATCGAAGAGGTATAGCAGGTTGGCCAGAGTGAACTCCACGGTGGCCGTGCTCATAGACAGTGCAGGGCATATCCGCCGCCCTGCGCCGAATGGAGTTAGCTCAAAATGCCCTCCCTTGAAGTCTATCTCGCTCGTCTCAAACCTCTCCAGTTTGAAATCCTCCGGGTCGTCTGGCCAGCTTGCCGGGTCCCTACAAATGGCCCACACGTTCACATAGATTCGCGCCTTGGCCAATACGTCATAGCCCCCAATTCGGATGTCCCGCATGGCCTCCCTCGGCAGTAGCATCGTCGCTGGTGGGTGCAGCCGTAGGGTCTCCTTCACCACCATCTTGAGGTAGACCAGCTTGGACAGATCGTCTGGTCGCACCCTGTCATTGCCTCCCACCACGGCCCTGATCTCGTCTTGCACCCTCTCCAGTAGTCGTGGATTCCGGGTCAGCTCTGCCATCGCCCATAGAATCGTCGCCGTGGTCGTGTCCGAGCCACCAATGAACGTGCCCTGCATGCATGCATGGTGGTGAGCGAGTGATGTCAGTTAGTTGATCTTTTTTCCCTCAATCGAGACATGACATGATGTATAGAGGTAACTAATATGACTTACATATAGTAAAAAAAACCTAATATGACTTACAAATATGTTGCCCTTGACATGGTCTCTTGTGATGTTGAGGTTGCCACTGGTGTCCTTCCATAGATCGATGAGACGGTCAACGAGGTCACCGTTGTGTGGCTTGACACGTTGAGGGTCAAGATGCTGCTCAATGATGACCTCGAAGAATGTATCAAGCAGCTTGAAGACCCGCTCACGACGAGATGCGAGGCCAGTGATTTGGTCGACTAGGCGGCCGACGATGTTGGGGAAATAGTCCTCCGCGGAAAAGCTGGACTGCACGTGTATGGCCTCCTCAAGCACGTGCTCCAAGTTCTTGTGGTGTGGGAACTTGTCGCTGTTGTGCATGTCGCCAAATCCAAGCATGCCGATGATGCCATCGGCCAGGCTTAAGATGTGCTTCTTGAGCGCTACCGTCTCTCCGGCCAAGCCGCTCAAGGTGTTCATTAGTTTGTCCACCTAATCGACCATGGGTTCAATAGAGTACATGAGGTTTTATACTATGCACAGTTTGTATCCACCATCTCTTATTTTATGAGGACGCGTGCCACATTAATCCACTGAAACATGTACTGAATAGCATGTATCCTTGTCCGTACCTGATGCTGGCGTGCATGCCATGCTGCCTCGACATGGCGCACGCCGAAGAGCTCGACCACGAAGAACTTGCGCATGGCGTGCCAGTAGGCGCCGTATGGCGCGAACCCGACGTTCTTGAGGCCGTAGGACAACCGCTTCATCCCGGGGGACACGGGTCGGGTGCAGCAGTCCTCGTCGTGCGTCTTCATCACCTCGCGCGCCGCCTCAGCCGACGACACCACCACCGTCCGCACGGTGCCGAGCTGCAGCTGCATCACCGGCCCGTGCTTCCGCGCAAGATCCCGTAAGCTCCGGTGCGGCAGCACGCCTAGCTGGTGCAGGTTCCCCGGGATTGGAGCCCGGGCTGGGCCTGGCGGTAGCTTGAGCCCTTTGTTGCTCAGTCTCCTCGTTAAGAGCACGAGGGAGACGAGTGCCAGAAGGAGGAGGAGCGGCCATTGTTGGGGCTGGGAGAGGAGCTCCGAGCTGGGTGAGATGGCCATTGATTTTCTTAGTCGTGTGTTTGGTGATATGCTGCTCCTGCTGCTGCTTCTTATACATGTGTTACGAGCCTCAGAGGCCTTTTAAACTCCTTTTGCTGCCTATGTTTTGCTCCTGCGTGAGCGTCCCCTTAGAGACTTATTGCTCGCTTGTGAACCTGTTCTTTTATGGTACTGTTTTCTGAGACGTTGGCTAGCTAGGTGTTGTCGGGTTTTCGCCCCAGAACAGGTGTCTCGTGGGCGAGCTCCTGTGGTGGGTTTTTTGGGGATGCTTTGGGCTCGCTCTCCTTTCCCGTCTACTTAAACTTTGGATGGTTTTGTATTTCCATTATACAGTTATAATGAAAGTGGGTCATCCCGGTATAAAAGATGAAATAAATTAGAGCATCGGACATTTCATTGATTAACATCAAATCTAAATTTGATGTTAATCAACGAGGATCCTGGCCCTGGCTGGCTGTAGGGCTCATACTTCGTTTTTAGGTGTTTTTTTAGTCTTTTTAGGGTTTGTGTTATACTCAAGAAGGTAAGGCGGCGACAGCTCTTTCAAGATGGAATAAAGTTCTTCCCGTCTAGCTCCTATCGCGTCAGTACATCTCGTGTCGTTAGAGGGCATTCGGAGATGTGCCTCTGGCGAATCTCCCTGGATTCGGTTGGTGTTTGTCTTTGGCGGATCTGTGTGTATGTGGTCTTCACTTGGGTATGTTCATGTGTCTACAAGTTGGATTCTTCTGATCAATGCTTCTCTTCATCCGGCGGTGGTTCCTATTCTAGTGCGCTAATCTTTTGGTGCCTTAGCATGACGACTTTCTGACTGTCTACTACAGGAAGGTCTGCTTGGCTCGAGGAAGGGGCAATGATGGCAGCGCGGCTTCGGTTCACTTCAGTGTTTGTAGTTGTCGATAGGTGATCTATGGATATTGATGCAATTTTTATTACTTTTTGTGTTCTCAGTACTGCCATGATGTTTGATGAATAGATATACACTTTTGCCACAAAATAAAACAAAGGTCTCATAAAAACATATATCAAACAACCTGAAGCCACCCGTCCACACCTACAAACTCGACAATGGGGATGCCATCACAACAGCTCACCATCTATATCACCGGGGTCATCACGAAGCCGCCCGCATGGTGTACTGGGAGCACATATCCAATCCAGCAGACCCTAAGTGTGTACCACATGCACATGCTTCAGAAGTCGCAACCACCATCGAATAGTTGACACATCTTCTGGATAGAGATCCGCATTATCAATGACATGCCAGCTGCGAAAGCGCCAAGCAACACCACCACCCTGCGCTCATCCATCAAGACGCTCCGCCAACGAGACTCTGCTACGCCATGCCGTCGAGACCCGCCGTCAACGATGTGGTGTTTAGGACACCTCTCCACCTCAATGCCCCTCAAGCGGCTGCTCTAAAATGATGCCCCAAGAAGAAGAACGGTGCCCCGCGTTGCCGTTGTTTGATCTGGAACACTCATATCTAGGGTTTCCACCGAAGTAGCCCGAGCGACGAGACGAGACCTGCAATGACTGTGCCTTCATCAGGGTAACAATGCGTAGACACCACCACCCCCCGTCAAGACCGAAGTCCGCTCATTTTTCACCGACACTCGGTCCTCCCCTAGCTCGCCACCTCACCCCCTAGAACCACGCCAGCCAGCAAAACAGACCAGCGGGAAGCACCCAAGACCTCGGGGCACCACCCAACACGACGCCAGAAAGAACCCTCGACACCAAGGCACTGTCCTGCCCACCAGCACGACGATCGCATGCAAAGGCCTAGGACCGGATGCATGCATGTGGATGCATGCATGTCCACTGTCCTGCCTACCAGCACTGTCCTCGAACTCAACAGTCTGGATGCATGCATGTGGGGCTCACAGAGCGTGACCACTGGTCTGCAAGTTGGACCTTCACCAGTAAGTAAATGCACAGTAGGTGGATCTCGGGACCGGTGGAAGGAGAGGCGCCACCTTGCCGCCGTAGCTGACCGCGGCGAGTTGGGCTCGGACTGGAAGGTGTCGCCAATGGAGCGCGAATGGGGAGTGGATGGCGTGCCGCCGCCGGTGCTTGCGGTTTTGGTGCTCCTCCTGGAGCCGCCGGGGGTGGATGGGCGGATGAGGTCACGGAGGGACTGAGGGAAGGGAGAAGCCAAAGAGGATATGACTGGTGGTGGGTGTCCCGGCCGGTCCCAGCGCACGTCTCGCGTCGCCTTGGCTCGATCCCTCTCCTCTTTATTTGCATCGCCTTTGGGTCGATCCCTCTCTCATGCATCCCGGGTCGCTCTATCTCCTCTATGGGGAAAAAATAACGAGCGCACAGACACAACACACTCTACTTATGGGCCGAACATGCCCAGTTTGCCAGATTTCATCGTTTCGGCCTCGAGAGCAGCAGCCCATTAGGACAGCTAGGCGACATGCGGGACAGATGGTTGTAGACAGGGGATCCGACGGCCAGAGATACCCAGATCGTCAAATCGGACTATCGAAAATGCAAATCGCTGAGAGGGCTCGCTTTAGGCTCGGTATACTGACCTGAATTGCTCCAAAACTTATGACGATTGGGCCCCGTATGACAGACTCTGGCTGCATTTTTTGTCAGAATTGTCATAATGACAATTATTATGTCAATTTGCCCAATATTGAGACTCTCCTAGAGGTTCTTAAGGCTACTCATAGTCAGGAGTATCATATACTAGTATCATGCATATGATACTAGTGTATGATACTACCCTCATAGTGCATAGTATCACAGATTGCTATCATAGATGATTCTATTTATGGTCATGCATGTCATATCTTAGCAAAGTATTAATTATGGTATGGTATCTATATATGTTACTCTAACTCTCTCTCTCTCTTCTTTAATTATCTGCCACATCAGTGTGTTTGCTAGTCCCGAGTGTATGATACCGACTAAGATACCATCACTATGGTCAGCCTAGGACTCAGAGCCCAGGTCTGCCGGCAAGGTTTCTTTGATAGGTTTGTTTATTTATCGAGAACGGGATTCACGCCTGTCCTGCTCCTGCCTGCTCACATGTTGGAATCTCGGCACTCCTGCAAAATTCAGAGTGAGTACCATGCTACGTGTTCTGCCTGCTCAAATGTTCTCTTGGAATCCTGGCAGTCGAAAAATTCAGAGCGTGATGCATCACGCCACATGTACGGCCTACTCACATGTCAGATGTTGGATCAAAATGTATCATTATATTCCAGCTAGCTTCTGTACTCTACTACTTTTACCAATTTATTGATGTTAAGTTGGGCCCTTGTTTGGACACAAAAATAACCAAATGGCCATGGTGACGGTGTCCTGGATTATGGG